ATGGGTCTTAGGCCTGCACCAACCACCACTGAAGACACAAGGGATCTCAAAGTCAACACTTTGAGGTGCTGGTGATGTAAGGCAAGTATTGCCAAAGTCCTCATGGCTATCTTCAAAAAATTGGTTATCAACATGAGTGACTGCCCACCGCGGCCGCCTCCTCTCTGCTCCTCTGGCTCTGCACTCGGCGCGTCCCCTGGGAGGCTGCAGTGCTGCAGGTCTTATCTTTTCTCTTGCGGATGCTGATTAACAAACCAATAATAGACTATGTGCTTGCTGTAAACTAACATTCGAAACATATATAGTATGTATATATATATATATTTGCAGTATTAGTTCAACTGGTTCACTGCCGGTGGCGAAAGGCTGAGTCCAAACTAACCTCCTGGGTCAAGATAGAAACAAAACATAAAACTATAGAACTATGGCTTCCGCTCAAGAACTCTCACCATGTGCTCCCACAAATTCATCACCCCAGCATTCTGGAATCTCCACAAACTCCGGCTCTTTTCCTTCAGCAACACAATCATAAAACAAAAACCCCCCAAAACCAATATATCCAATATGAGGCTTCTCGGACAATGACAGCACTTATGCTACTTTGGCACATGATGCCAAACCTGAGCAGCAAACCAAAACAGTGTGGCCCCCGAACCAGATGAAGAATAAGACTTACAAAGGATAAAGGAGTGAGATCGTTGATACATGTTGATACCCAATAAATGGGTGATTGTTGTTTGATTTATGAGTGGCGGTAAAGTTGGAGAACAAATCCACCCGGGCCAAATGACTGCTTTGAACCACTCAGTGGATCGCCTGGGGATCCACTGGCATTGGGAACGCTGCCCTGGTCAATGCTGAAGCGCAAGGACACCTCGATGCGGGCTGGTTGAATGTTGCGACCTGATCCCATTAGATACTCATGGTTGCTCCACCCATTGAAGAATCCCTTTTTGAGTAATTATATCAATTAGAGTTGTGCCATCGTAAGGCCGTGGAAACCACATACCCCCAAATGCGACCGCTATAGATCTGAGATCTTCTGAGTTGTCAAACGGCAACCAGCCATCTCCAATAGTGGATGTGAATTGTCCCGTGAATGTGGGATTTGCAGATATTTGCTTCTGTGCCAGCCCCTTCCAGCGGTGTCCATTTGCATGCCTGGGATTCCCAATTAGACAACCCCCAAAATCTGCTTCTTACGCATTTCATCACCTCTGACCAATATTGACCATCACCTCTGATCAACAGGTGCGCCACCACGCCAGGGGAGCCCAAGCCCACAGGATGTGCCTGTGTGATTGTAACATATGTAAGATAAAGTGTTCTGCTCTGGCAGCGCTACTAGGAGCCAGGACGCCAATGAAGTTCAATTGAATACCCCATCATGAGCTGTGGGCAAAGCACTTATCTTGCAAAGGCAGCAAATGCTATCTGCTATGGCATTACACTGGTGTGCTATGGCATTTCCCCGGGTTTGGTGAACCACATCAGTGGTTCCCCTCGGTCTTATTGCCTTGAAGCCAACACCAACTATTGTTCTTCATTTCAAAACACTGGACGCCCAGATACGGGGCGTGGCTTGTTCTTGATCCACTTCCTCAGGCGTCGGCGACGTCGGCCAAAAACTTCCGCATGTCGAATCTTTCACGATGCGAATCCAGGGATGATTTAAAAAAACAACAAATCAACTCCATTCAACTCCTGATTGACCTTCTTGTCTGTTCTTCTGTGAACGATCTGGGTCCAAAAAGACCTCTCTCTCTCTCTCTCTCTTCTGTCCGTCCTTCTGTCCGTCCTTAGACGTTCCTCGTGTCCCGATTGTAGCAAGGGCTCCGGATCAGGCGCTTCACCCGAAGGTCTGCCTCCGCAGGAGAATCCTGCACGTCGAGAGGAGACGGTGGAAAAGAAAACACAGAAGCAATGAAGGAGAGAAACAACGAAAAATGCCAGCAAGTGATTCAGTATAGCATAGTATAGCATGTTTTTGGTCTTGGGCAAGTGATGGCAAGATATGGCAAGATATGGCAAGTGCAAAAAAATTGTGAATGGAAAAGGTGTTTAGAGTTTTTGGCCAGCATCCCAAGTTTCTGTCAAACAATGCGATGTCAACCAATCGTTGCTGCTTGGACCCAAGTGCCATGACGGTCCTATAGGACGTACAAGAGTGGCGGCAAAATGCACTAACACTTGCTCCCAAAACTGACATGTACATTCACTATCTCTGAACAGTGCAACCAAGGTCCAAAATACCAACATATATACCAACTACCTTTACAATTGCCGAAGAAACCTAGGGTTCTCCAAAATAATTGGGGTTTTCACTGGAAACCGCGGTTTTGCATCGTTTTTTGGATTTGAGTACGTGCATACTGATGTGGCAATGTCTTGTTTGAGTATCGAGACTACGGGTGTCAGTTCAGAAGATTTGCATTTTTTTGCACCCAAAAGTCGTTCGGCATCTGACCTCAAACCCGTGATTTGTTTAACGGGTTTGAAAAGCAAGGGTAAATCACGGGTTCAGCACGGGGAAATCACAGGTTCTACCTCACACTTGAACCTTTCCCGATAAAATTCAATAAAGTGTCAAGAAACCATATCGATGGAACGAAATGGAACGAAAAAAACAATTGGATAATCACACGGATTGTTCAGCATGCAAAGGAATTCAATCAACTTTACCTGAGCAGGCAGATTGAGAGAATACCCAGGGTTTTCCCGGGAAACCCGAGACTTTTACAATTTTACAAGACCCGTTTTTTTTTCCGCATACCCGAGGAAAAGTTGGGGTCCAAGCTGGCAGGGTATATATAAAATAGTATAAAATATGTGTGAGATATAGACTGCTTGAATGGAATAGATAGGAAAAGCATCAAACATCAAGCTTGGAGCTTGGCCCTAGAAAACCATCTTGGCCTGGTCCCAAGATATTTCATCCCCCAATTCCGGCTCTTCACGTGCTCCGTGGTCCTTTCGCGCGCCTCGCTCCGTGGACGGAGCGAACCGCGCGCGCACCGCGCCTCGGGTGGGGGTGCAGGGATCACATCGTCGTCGACCGCCAGTAAGCGGTCCCCGATGCGCAGCCCCAAGCGGTCCGCTTGGCCCTGGACACAGAGCGAACCGGTGGTGAATGGCCACGGGGCCAGCGGGGCCGGCTTGGACAGTGTTTTGGGAGTGACTTGAACAGCTTGGGAAAGGTTTGTTGGACAAAGATCGAAATGGTTTGATTGGCCTGAGGTAAAGATAGGTTTTAAACAAATTGTAAAAATAGTTGGTCGAAGATCAACCTGATGGATTTGGGTTTGCTATGGTTGGCTTGTATCCAGTAGCTCTTCGACTTCGACACGTCAGATTCGCAGGATGGTTCTGATGCGATGGCGTGGGAGAAACACTCTATATGTTAATTATATATATATAACATATGTTTTGTATGTGTTTTTTGCAGGCCCAGCCCTTAGCAATTCTCTGGGCTTACACTAGCCCTTGGCAAAGCGCATCGGGTTGACTCTGAATGAGAACTGAGAAGAAAGCCATCTGTGCACACTTCTAGCGGGAAATTAGTCTTGAATGGCAACCAAAACCATGCAAAACCTGACGTGACTCAAACGATGCAGTCTGTGGCTTATACAACGCCCCACAGGCACCTTCGTCAGAAACCGTACCCGGTCACAAGTAATTCAACTTTAAACACGTACAGCACAGTGAAAACACAAAGAAAAAGCTGATGCCGCTCAAGCAATGAAACTCTGTCTAGTTTGGAAGAACTACGGTCTACGACACGACGTCATGTCATAGATTACGCGGTGACACAGTGGATCTAGTAGCGCAGAAGCACGGTGACCAGTGCTTCCTGCTTCCGCCGCTTCCGCATTCAACGAGCGAATGAACCACGGCGACGGCGCTTTCACAGCCCACGGTGACCGCGCGGTGGGCGGTGGAAGTAGCTGGGCGAGAAGATGCTGGTTTTTGATCGCTCAGTGACACAGGGACGTCCAACCTCACTTAACCCAGAGCCGAACTGGAATGACCCAGTTAGGACTCCAAGGGCCAAACTCACCGGACAATTTGCGGAGAAGCATTGAGAGCCCAGTGGAGCGTGCCTTCCAAAAAGATTTTAAGTTGTATCATGATGTATTGTCAAAATTGCATGAAATTGGTACCAAAATGATTTCGAAAGGGTTCAACAGATTTCAATGATTCAACAAATGTTTGGGCATCTCTTCTCTTTTCATAGATTCCTCGAGGTTCTCAATTGCTGGCCCTTTCAACGTGCTGGGGTGACTAGTCACCCGGGGTCGCCGACTGTCACCAGGCCGCAGCGGCGCACGCTACAAGACTGAAAAGTCACCCGGAGAGTCGAGTGAAACACCATGGCCACGCTATGTACCACATCCACCCGCCCAAACGAAGTAAACTGCATACTTCCTTGTCTACACTGGGACGAAACGGATCATGTTCGTGTTGATTTCTTAGGGCCTTAGGGGTGTTGAATCACCATGGCCCACGCTTACTCCAGGTAGTGTTGTTTAGGGCCTTAGGGGTGTTGAATCACCATGGCCCACGCTTACTCCAGGTAGTGTTGTGAAGTCGTTTGTCCTTCAATGTAAATATGAGTTTTAAGATGAGTCGCGTCTCGTACATCTGGAAATTTGGGGAAGATGTGAGGCTAAGATTCATGTTCAATATGTTACATGTTAAAGTGTTCACGAGGTTTCGGTTTCGTGCCGCGCAAGTCGCGGCAATCCAGATCCCATGGTCATCCTCAACAAACGTAATTATGCCTGTTCACAATACGACAAAGACAGCTTCATCATAATATATATATATATATATATCCCTCAACTTCAAACGTCTCTAGTAAACTTGTGCTTTTACCCACGTCGAAGTTTAGTCAAGACATTTCGTCTCGCCTAAGTTTACCCTGTGCTCAGTTTGGCTGTTTCTTAACCCGTTTTAAATAAACCTTTCAAAATCAGTCCGGGACCTTAGTTTCAACAATACTATTTCAGAAACTCAGAGATGAGACATAAAATCTCAGATACGTACTCAGTCAGTTGCATTTCATCAGCCTCGACTTTGGTGTTTGTCTGGTGTGCCACCCCAAACCTCTTCAATACTCTACATGTAATGTCAAAAATGATGACACATGTCACCAAACACAAAAACATGAAACATGGTCCAATTTCACGGGTAAACTTGTGCATTCACGGGTAAACTTGTGCATTCACGCTACTTCACGCCGATTTCACGCTATTTCACGCTACCCCTTTTTTTCATGTGTCCAAGTGCTCCATGATTTTCAATGAGATCTTCATAAAGCCTCACCCTTTCCGGTGTGGGTATGACAATATATTCTTTCAGTCAAGTGAAATCTCAGATATTAGATCATAAAAGTTGTCATTTTCGACATAAGACATGTATTGATCCCAACATGTCTGAAACGACATCCACAAAATTGTGGTTATTCCACCACAGATCTACTTTGATACATTCACGCTTGGTTAAAATTGTGCATAGCAGAACGTACAAGTTTACTTGGTTAAACTTGTGCATCGATAACGTCCAAGTTAAACTTAGCCGTTGAAGCCTAGGGATATATATCATGTTTCATCTACAGGTTGCAGGGACAACAAAGTTCCAAAAAGTATATCGCAGCACAGATCATGCAAAGCCAGGCGTCTTCCAGACGACTTACTACACGACCAAGACCAAACGACTTAACCCCGGTAGTGTCCGTTCCCCGAATAAGCCAGTGGCCATGTGGCGATGGGAGGCAATTGGAGCAACACATCTTCCCTGTATAGACGATAACAAATGCCCACACAAGGTGAGTGATCACACAGCTTGGTTACAGCTGTGTAAAAGCCAAACAGTGGTACCTCAATGAATTTCAATGCATTTCATCATGTCTCATCACGCTCCACCACCCTGGCGAACCTCGCAATTCGCAATTCGCAATTCGCAGTTCGACCCGTTCGACCAGTGAAGCGAACGACCGGTGGGTTCCGGACCCTCCGCGTTTCTGCTCGCCGATCCGCGGTCCAGCGAGCCGATCGGAGTCGCTTCGCCTCGGCTTCGATGGCCACCACTCGTGCACCTTCGAGTTCAAAGCCCAGAGGCCCCTCCTGCAGCGGAAGCGAACGAAGACATGAGCGGTGTCATGGGCGGTGGAGACGTGGAGACGGCCGGCATCGTAAAGAAACAACGGCCCCGATGTTCCACGATTTGGAGTGCCTGTGTTGGTCTGTGTTCCTTTTTGCATCATGTGGATTCAATCTGGGCCAAATGCTGCCACTAGTGCTGCCACTATAGAATAGCATCCTGACTCATTCCAAAAGAACCGTCGTCACTGAGACGGCAGTCTTGTCAACGAAGACAGCCTCTGCAAGATCTTGTCTACCCATCATTGTTCGTTGACTCCTTCAAACACACCCATTCGACCAATCTCAGCATTTCATATCATATCGAGAAAAGTGTGTGTTTTCGACGATTTTTGCCAGCTTTCACACGGATTGATAAGTTCTCTTGCAACATCTAGCTAAGGTCCTTGGACCTGCTGATGGATGACATCGGACCTATCATGCAATGATCACTCTCCGGGAAGTACAGCTCTGCAAGCAGACTCTCAATTAATGAATAAATGAGCCAAGATGAGCCAAGGAGATGCAGAAGCTCCCCAGGACGGTGCAGGATTTCGTCACCGTCGGTCGCAGTTCTTCCCCTCACCATCGGTCATTTTCTGTCCCATCGACCTGTCGTCGCATCGCCTCCCGTCGTCGCGTCGCCTCAAATCGAAGGTCCCGAGAAGCGTCGCCCGCGTCGCCCGCGTCGCCCGGCACTTGCAGGAGCCATTCCTGAGAACTGCCGACCGCGGAGGCCGCGCTGGTCGCTGGTTGAGGAAGCAAAGACCATGCCCAAAGAAAGGACGGCCCATTCAGGTAGCCATGATCGCTTCAAGTACCTACTGGGAGTGTAGAGGAATATGGTCTGCAGATGGTTTCCATGTTTATGTTGATGACGGGTGGGTGCTGGCTTAGGTGTAGCAACTCACCAGCAACACGATGTTGACTATACTAGTTGATCCTCTTTAGTGAGCGGGTGCCGGGCAACATCACCTTGTCTTCCGGATGATGGCTGCCTGGAAAACACGCTTTTAACACCTAAGTGACCTAAGGTGCAAAGGGCCGGACAAACATGGCATGTTATGAATCAAGAAATGAATACCCACAGGAAGCATTTTGGTCTTGGGACATGTCCCGAAGCTTTGTCTCCGTACCTCCAAATAACAAATGAAATAGTGTCATGGTCATTTATGGTTTATGAGAGATGCACAGTAGTGCCGGGGGGTTGCCATAGATTCCTTACCAGCAACTTCTCCCCTAATCCCTGATCAAGCGGCTGCACCTTGAGCCCAACCGCTGGCCTAAGTAAGCAAGGCGCCAGTCAGGCCGAGCTTTACTCAGAATCGTGCGACACAATCCATAATTAAGAGGTGAGGTGCTCAGTGCGAAGGCGGGAATGAAATGCTATTTGAATATGTATAGTAAGTCTTAGTAAGTTCATGTAAGTTGTACGAGTATTGAGTTGTTTAGTTGTTTATCATCTGCAGCAAGATAATTCTGAGAATGCGTTCTGACGTGCTTTGATCTCCCGCTGCTCACGAGGCAACCATGATGCACGTCAGGCTCTAATGCCTGATGTTCTTTTTGTGGTTGCCCCTAGTTGGGCCTTTAGCAAGGCAGCCTTCAGCTTTAGGAGTTGTGAACTAAAGCAAGCCTTCCATTCCATCTGCGACAAAGCACCCACTCCAATCATGGATGAGCTAGGCGACATAAGAATTTCATCTCTTAGGTGCCAGGCGCAGGTACTTTGAAACGACACTTCCAAGTGCCCCTATGGCAATGACACCACCAAATGATCAAAGGTCATCAAATGCCAGAAATCTGGCCTACCCTTTTCTCCGTTCTTTTTTCGCTCATTCGACTGATGGGAGGCCATGTCCAAGGCTGAGGGTATTGCGTAGCAACGAAGTGTCGCCCACTGGCGCGTTTCGCCTGCTGGCGCATGTTTGCCTTTCTGATGAAAGTTTTGCGACCGCGTGCAAACCGCAGGGCACGCGATCCAGTGCATTTCAAAGATGCCAGTGCATGCCAAACGGTATTTGATCTTGAGCAAAGCATTCTGTACTTTGTGAAAATTGAGAACGAGGGGGCATAGGCAGCATAGCCTCTCAAAAGCTTGCTATCTGGTCTTCACAGTGGATATTCTCGAATAAAGCCCAGTTGTTGGCGGTAGAGACATTGCTCAAACAAGTTTAAGTTAGTTATACTTTTATCTTCTCAGTCACTTTTGGAGCCAAGCCCACTGAAGAGTGGACAGCTCTGGGTTCCCCTGCTGCTGCCGTGGCTTCCTTCTGTAGCTTTGCAGCTTCTTTGGCTGCCTTCTCTGCGGCCTCCACTCGACCCACATCGACAGGTCCGTTCAGCGTCGACTCTGAACTGATTGGACTCTAGATAGACTCATTCCACCTTAGATAGTGTTCTGAAATGGTCTGCAACCTTGCCTTTCATATCATTTCATTGCCTTTCTTCCCTTCCCGGAAGTGTGAAATCATACTTCTCGATCGTTGATCCTGCTGGTCTTGTGCCAGTTTGGTTCGCAGTAGTTGATAGCAGCGGTTTCAAAACCGCACCGCTGGTGATGATCAAGCGACGGCACGGTGCCGTCCTCTCCCACCGATCCGGCACGAAGTTCGGGCCGAAGAGTTGAAGGGTCTCACCGGTCTCACTGGTGTCATTCGCCTCACTCAGGTGAACCAAAAGAACCCCTGGCCGCACTGATCAGTGGACGAAGTGTTGAAGCTTCCAAGTGGACGAACTGGCCCTTCTTGATCAGCCCCTTTTGATCCCCCGTCCTCCCACTGCATAAGGAGTTGTGGCTGGATAAGGCTTCTTGGATTTGCTTTGAAAAGGTTACATTATTAGCTGAGTGCGTGGCAGTTCTCCAATTCTCCAAACAGGTCCCCCAAAACTCCAAGCTTGGCACTTGATTTTGATTGGAAATCCCCACAAAAACACAGAATGAAACAAAGACACACCATCCGGACGGCCGCCCCTGCTCTTTGCCTCCTTGGCAGCTTCTTGCGCAGCTTGCGCCATGGAAGCAGCTTTCGAAAGCCATGAGCTCTTCATGGCGCGAGCGTGGCGCGAGCACAGCCACAGCTGGTCTTCCAGTCGTTTCAAATATCCAACAGTTGGGGTTACATCGACGTGTTCGCTTCAGTTCGGCGTTTCCCTCATGGTACCATGGACGTCGGACGCACCCATCTTCACCGGACGGTGGCAGTCGAGTGGTCCTCAAAGAGATCCACCATTGATCCCCTTGGGACCACTTGGCTAGTCTATCGGTGTCCCAATGTTTGTTCAAGCTCGTGGTGGTCTCTGACTTCCTTCCAGTGACCCAACATGTCTGGCTAATTGTGAGTATGGTCCTGGTGGTCCTGGTCTTTGGGTTTCTGGAGAACATCTTCCCTTTCCCCATGGGTGGGGGAGCTGAGACATGCCACACAAAGCGGGAGATTCAAAGTCCAAGATCCTTGTTGAAAGGTGCTGGACATTGCTTGAACATTGAGAAATGCTATGCTATATAATGCTTCTGGACCTCTGGAGACTGGGATTCGTGAGACACATCACAACGGAAAAATCGCTTGAGTGCTGGAAGGCAGTATCCATGTTTGCATGGGCCGCGTGTAGATCATAGATAGGTCTCTTGAGTTGGCACCTCTACTTTTCACAGAACTCCCATCCACTCCTGTCTACGGCTCGTCTATTAGACTTCGAAAGACTGTCCAAATAGACTTCGTAGACTTCGTGGTTCCTTCAATGTTGTTCAACTGAATTGTCTACGAGCTTTGAGCCCATCCACAACCACGGGTGTTGATCAAAACTGCCTTGCATGTCATGCTGCATGTCCAAAGATATTGGGCTCTTTCCATTGCAAGGAAGTCTCCACCAAACCAAAAAGCCTTTGATTCAGGGAACACCTGTAAGCTTCGTGTCATTTGCTTATGGGAACACCTGCAAACACATACAAACACTGCATATACCCTCTTCGATGGACCGAGGACCACTGGTGATGGATGATGATACCAACACGCTGGAAGGAGGCGAAACCGGCTTCGCATGGGTGCACCACGCAGGGGTGGAAGAAATAGCGAGATCACCGCAGGGGAAGTCTCTGGATTTTGGTTCAACGCATGGTCGTCTCCTGACAGCTCAAAGGTCAAAGAATTGTCACATGATGTCAAATGCACCAAAGCCTATGTCGTTGAAAGCCCACTGACTAAGCAAAAGAGATGATGGAACACACGTTCAAGTCACACGGTTTTCTCGTCGCACCATTCGAAACCAACTCTCATGGCGACAGTTTTGGAAATCATCATATAGTAGCGACGATCGCAGGTTGAAATCATCCTAGGAATCCAATGTTCTGAAGTGTAGTACTTCAAATAGACCTTAAACTTTGCTTGACAGACTTGCAAATAATTGGAAGGTATTAGGTTCCTGTGCAATACCACAGCCACCAAAACAAAACCAGACTAGGTCTTTCTCCACAAATAGCGCTAATGCAAGTCCATTGGCTACTTGTTCAGCCCGATGAATCAGTGGCGATGTAGTGAGGCTATAGGCTTTTGGGGCAAGTGTGGGAGTCCATGTTCCATGGCTCGTTCCATTACATGTTTCTTTGTGGGTCACATTCATTGTGGACCACGACGTGTACAACATACAATCAGTTCGATACTTATGGTACGGTAGCCGGTATAGCATCCTTTGTTGTGGCTGGAATACCATGCCACACCACCTATATATATTATATATTATTGTTATTATTACTATTATATATATATGTTTATCATAGTACATGTCATGTTGTGATTGCTAGGTGATGTCCCACACTGAAGATACAGCTTTGGTGTGACATTCTGCAGCGCAGAAAGATCAGAAGCTTCCGTTGGATCCCCAGGGCTACCCGCAGTCGCACTGCACCGCGCCAAGAGGACTTGGGCCGAACATGTCATAGGCAGTCCCTAGATGCCAAACGAATTTCAATATCTGACTGTCAGCTCTTGATCTAGAGTTCAACCCAAAAAGTTCAAAGGCTGTTCAAAGCACCGACGGCGAGGTCCTCCTCCTCATGGCCACAGTGAATCAATTCGTCACTCGCTCGTGACGATCTCTGGACCGAGAACTGCGTGAGCGCGCGGAACCGCCCCAAAGACGATTTGGGCCGCTTGAAAGGCGGGCGACCGAAAGGTTGGAAGTGAGAAACATCAGAAGTGACGAGGCCAGTGGACTTTGCACAATAGTAGACCTGTAAAGTTCACGCTGTGCACTTGTGTTTCGGCAGTTCGAACTGTTTTCGACCTTCACTTACCGTCGTTCCCTCTCAAGACTGGGAGGGCAGTTGCCTTGCAAAAGGCGCGGCCGCGGCGCTTCAGTGCGCCCTCTTGTTTTCGTGTTTGCGGACTTCGGGTGCCGCTGCTACCTTTTTCGCAAGACCAATAGTAGACCAATGGATTTGCAAAGGTGCCTTGACAAAGCCTTGGAAGTGAGAAACATCAGTATATAGGCCAATAGTAGACGGAAAAATACACATCCCTTGGACCCACTGTACCAGTAGAATGCGCACTTGAAGCCTTCAGCAAAAACCAATGTCCAGCTCACTTTATCACTCACAATGGGGCCATCTACACTGGAGCGTCCTCTTCTGCCCCTGATATTGGCATTTGTGTCGGAACAATCGACTCAGCCGGTCAAAACAAAGTGATGCTCCTCACAACCTGTCCATGCTGAGCGAAGCAAATGCTCAGCTTTTCTGCATGGATGTTCTATGGCCAAGCAAGCAACAAGTCAGCGGTTTTCTTGTAGAGCACTGAGCAAAGGTCAATAGGAAGCTCCCGATACGTTGTAATGACATGCAATGGCAGCAGCCCCAATAATGAATACTCTGCACAACATGCACACTAAGAAACATGAGCCCCTTCAGACGGGGTGCCTCTTCACACGTATCCCAGAATTGACCCAACTGCCGGGCACCAACTGCTGCCACCGAAGAAGTTCACCGGCAGAAAAAATCCAGGTCTGAGTATTTGGGTGAGATTCCAAGAGCAATGGCAGTATTTGGTCCGAGTATTTGGTCTGAGTAGTTGGCAGTTCTTGGAATTGGCGCATGGTGCTTTGACAAACCTCTGCCTCACAGGGTGGAGTTGCATGTCCAAGCTGGGAAGGAAGGGCCATCTTGACGAAGGGCCGCCAGTTAGAAAAACATCTAAATTGGAGAAAATTGGAGACTTTAGACAATATTACAAATCCAATTATTAGATATAGATATCAAAATTACCAGTTAGAAAGAACTTGGAGAAATGGAGAATAACTGGTCTTCAGATTCACTGCAATGACAACGGTGGTGGGAATACCTCTCGATGAGGTGAACCTTCGTCATCTCTTCCGAGGAATTGGAACCTTTGCAGTCCTTTGAGCCTAACGCCAGGTGGAACCTCGAAATCACTCAAAGCCTGGAACGCCAATGTACAGAACCACCCAATGTAACAATGACCAGAATCGCCAGCAAGGAATTCATGACTTCACCATACTTCACCCACACCCTGGCGATGTATCCTGCAAACGTGGTGGGATTGAGGTGTTTTCTTTTTTTTTTCAGACGTTGTGTTGACCTCCTTTGTTCCTATCGGATTGCATGCTAACTTGCGAGCTTGGCCATGTTCAGTAGATCGCAGGTTGCCAAGCAGGACCTCGGGGTTCCCAGGCTGAAGGTATGCGAGTTGGTCGATTGGCGAAGGTTGGTCGATTCATGAAACACATGCACCACAGAAGCACTCCAAACCCGTGGTGGGACAAGGGATGCCCATCGACATGTTTACTAAACACATTTTCCCAATACTTAATACTCAAGTGATGTTTTTTTCCATCACTTCTCACATGACCCAGTTCACTCCAAACAGTAATTGGTGCTGGCTCCAACAGCCCTGTCCCCACACCTAGACCCGGAGCCCCGGTGCGGCTGCGCCCAGGCGTCTCTATTTCCTATGCTCGCCGCCGGGCCCATTGTTGGTGGTACGTAGACGTTCATCATGGGGGGATATACCTTACATTAGCTTACCATAGTTGGGTGGTCCCGTCCACCACCTACCAAAACATTACTGATGGCAAGGGATATGTTGATGGATTAACATGTTACAAGTTACAAATCCAGTTTCATGATGCTTTCCATCAGGACACAACTTGTAGCCAGCACATCCTTCCATCAACTCGAAGCACAAGTTTGATCTTTATACAGTGCAAAGTAACTAGCGCAAAGAGTCCTTGCAGGCCACATTCCGCAAGACCAGCGAGCGACTGGGAGTCCCTGGCAGGGCCGTGAAGTGTTAAGGCGCCAGTTCAAAGGCATCTGGGCACTCCTCACCATCGCCTGCCGCACGTGATGCACTGCACTTGGAACCCGAAGCAGAAGCTTGGCGCATCTGTCTCGGATAGACTCAAAACATATCGGATAGAGTACTAAGGTGTCTGTCTCCACGTTGTCCTGCAATCTGGAAGATTGGTGTTGAACCTGTTGAACAAGATCTATGGAACAAGCAGCAGCTGCAAGCATTCCATGCCCATCAAATGAGGTGTCACTTTCACTATTTCAGTTTGGGACAATCACCACAGGAAGATGTGTTGATTGCAAGTATGTTGCTTGTCAAACACGAAGGTTGTATGCCGGGTACACCGTAATGAATACTGTACAACAAATAAACTTGAAGAATTGTTCTATAAAATGTCAAACTGTACACAAATTGAAGGACTGGACTACATCAAATTAATGGGGCATATGGTACATCAGTGCATTTACCATGTTGTCAACATATATGACCTCGGAATTGTCTGACATCAATCGTCTTCTCCCTTGTCTAACGCGTGGTTGCAAAACAACCATCCACTTCTCGTCTGGCGTGAGGACCCGACCTCCGCAGAGGGAAGGAAGGCTACCGCCAATGGACCTGGGTCGGAGAGAGTCCACGAAGGGATGATTTGGAGACATCTGAAGGGGAAAGAGGCACGGTCCCTGCGTATCGGTTGTGTATTGCGAGGGCATAGATTATACAAACGGATTCAACCGGGGAGATGGAGAGATCCTCTTATAGAACGTCAAATAAATGTCTCTTACTGTTTTACC